AAAAACTTTTGACTACTTGGTTGATTGTTCCAGGTTCTGACACTCAGGAGCTGTGTCTCATTGAAAATTTGAACCTTAATAATTTCAAGTTACACTGAAGATCGATAATATTTAGTAACAACCTAAAAAGGTGCACTTTAAGTCCGCATGCTGATGAAAACTAGCGGCTTCCATTCATATGAATTTTCTTCAGCAGTATTTCCACTTGACACGATTTGTTTTTCTTCAATTTATTTTAAAATAAAGACCGGAAGTTTTCAAGTGTCGAATTGACTTTGACCACTTCTGGAAGTTAAATTGGGTCAGTACTTTTCTCATTATTTGTTCTATCAAATATTTGGGTAGAAGTAGAACGACTAATAACAGCCGTGCCCGAATCCGGACGTGGGTATTTGAAAAAAAGGTGTACTATATTCACATTAAATGCCTAGCAAGTACCTTACTCGGCCACCGTGCGCGGGCACCTTGTCCGTATTGGTAATGGAGATGAACGAAATGCTCGTTAAGGATAGTCAGATCGCAAATTTTACAAAAGACATTGAGGTATGCAATTTACCGCGATCTTATGAATAAAGGGTCCTTACCAGGAGGTTTTGTTGAACACCGATTGAACTTTGTTGAAATAAAAAAGGTTTAAAGTTAGTTTCTTTGAAGTATAACTGTGTGGGCTATATGTAACAAAATTATTTTTCGTCGTTTTCGTAAAGTTTTCAGCGTCAGTTCCGTTGGACAGAAGCGATTTGTCGCCAAGTCATAAATTATTGCAGCTGCGAAGCCACCAGGCTTTGCAGTTTTTATCGATCGCCTTCGCGTTGTGCTGCCTTTCATGCGCAGTTATTTAACACTGTCTAGTTAAATATCAACAATAGAAATAAACTGCCACTGATTCAAAGTAATTGAAATGCCAAATTGCTTTACTCGCAGCACTTCAATTTCCATTGGAAACTACTAGTTGGAGTCATGAGTCAACGAAACTAACAGCTGAGTTCAAGTTTAATTTTATATGAAAAACGTCGGTCGGGTTGAGGTGAACGCTCTTTTTTAGTCTCTATTACAGAACTCGACAAAGTTCCTATTTCACCTTCTAAAATACATTTCTTACCTTATTTCAATTATTTTAGAGGTAGCCGATCAACTGGAAGAAGATGGGAAATAAAAAGGAGCGAAGCGAAAAGAGAAATCCACGATGCTTTCCTCATCTGAGTGCATTACCTGGTTTGCCGTGGTCCTGGTCGTTTCTGTTGCTATAGTAACAGTGAACCTACTATCAATCATCCTTTTCATAAAAAACAGTGATCTTAGAACTCGTAGCATGTACTTGGTTATAAACTTGACTGTAGCTGACACTTTAGTCGGAGTAATTTCCAGTCTTCAATTTCTACGTTTTTCAAGCACCGAATGCAAAAATGCAAATAATCTGAATGGAACGTTTAATTGGGAAAGGTACATCATAACTTCGTTTCTTTTCTATTGGTTTCCTCTTACTTCTCTTACAAATATTACTGTAATTTCGTTAAATGCGACATTTCGTCCATTCAGTCATCGAGTTATCAAAAAATGGGTCTACGGGGTAACAATTTCTGTTGTCTGGGTTTTAGCTGCAATCATATCAGCTGCAATTATGATACTTTTGTTATTCGACAAAGAAAGTTTACACCGTCAGTATTTATGGCAATCATATTCCTTATTATGTCTTTTTGTTATCTGTGCTTGTTACGCCTCGATTATTGTCAAAATTTGTTGTGAGGCGCGTCCTCAGCACCATGGCGCAGCCCGTAGGCAAAGAAAACTGACTCTAACGTTACTCATCATGACTATTGTATCGTTACTGTTGTGGCTACCATTTGCTGTAGCCACCTTTGTTTATTATACAACTGATAGCATTCGATCACTTCTTACACAAAAAGAATGCGATTGAATATGTATTTACTGCTTTTATTTTATACAAACTCGTTTGTTGATCCCGTCGTTTACACAGTAAGAATGCCTGAGTTCAGGAAAGCTCTCCTGTTATTATTTACACGCCGACAAAGACAAAATGCTGCTGTTATTCCTCTTCGTGTTTGTTAAGGTACTTTGGGTAAAAGTTTCGATTGCAAGTGATCGCAGGTTCAGCTTCAAATGATGCTGATTTTCTCCCTGTTTTGGTTCATTTTCGATAAAAATTCGTTAGTATAGATACATATGAGATGCTATGATTTGAGTTCCCCATAAAACTGTTTGCCCCCCGGTTCTGCATAAACTATTGGGAGGATTTAATTTTTTAATTTCTTGAAGAGCTTTTGAAAGCAAGAACTTATGCAAATTTGAGAACAAACAGAATAGATTATGAGGGAATCGAAAAAAGTAAGTATACATATCAGTTTTCGCGTATGACTTGTCAAGCTCGTTAATGGTCTATAGCTGGAAATGAAATGAAATGGTTTGAAATGTGCTTCAGAACTTTAAAGTAGATCATGTACAGGTACCGTCGCAATTTGTAATAAGCCGTGTCGCACTTTGCATTAAAATGTTGTCGCATACAATTTGTAATAAACTAACCTGTCGAGTTTTCCGTTACTATTTTCATTATTCTTAAACCTGGTTTACTTAAACATGTTTTGTTGTTGTAAATGGGGCATAACATGTATTTTAAACCATTCATTGGAGTAGTGATTATTAATCCAAAGCATGATGAGATGAAAAAATATCATTGTCATGAAATAAAATAGTCAGTTGAATTCATAAGATGTGATGTGTTAGAGTCATTTCACTAAACCAGTGAAACAGTATGTAACAATAAGCGGCAAATAGCGACAAGTCAACAAAAGAAAACAACGAAACTAAAGAGTAATAGTTCGTATTACTGCGACTACTATCTATGTTTTAGCAGCCTAATATACAAATAGTACAAATATACAACGAAGGTAAATACAAAAAATTGTGTCAATACAGTAAGAAAAATAAACGTTATGAATTAAAAATGCTTAATTATCATACTTTTTAAACTAGGTGATAACGGGGCCTTTTACATAGTTGTTATGTTGACATAGGAGTCGTCATAGCAACTAAATGACGTCATTATCTATTTTCCTTGCAGCGGTATTTCTCGGCATCGAGCGTTTTTTCCACAATCGTGCACCGGAACCGATGGCAGCATATATCATTGGTTACAACAATTTTTCATCTTTGTGTAATACAGTTGTGGTAATCGTTTTTAAATATCATTGTTAGTGGCGAGGCAATTAGTGTTTAAACTTGGGAGGTATTGGCCCTGAAAAAAAAAACAACAACAACAACAAAAACAACAACAACAAAAAACCAAAACCAATCGAGCCACCTTTGAATCCATCTTCAGGACGGTGGTCACCATGATTTTCTCGTCGACAGCCTTTTACAGGTGACAAGTGAAAAGAATCCCCCAATTGGGGCCAGCGCAGCCTCAAAAGTGCGAGGACCACTGGATATAAGTGCGTAAAGAAGCCAAATGGGCAACCTCGTCCCAAGGGCTTTTCCCTCAAAAAATGGGTGGGGCGGGACCACCTTTTGAGGGAAAAACCCTGGGTACAAGGTTGGCCAAATGGGGGGATTGTCCGAGAACGTCTCTATACCCAACGACAAGAGAATGTCAAAAGAATCTTGTGATACGATTAACAGATTTATTCTAGCAAATTAAAGAACGAATTGATATTATTACCGAAAAGCTGAACGCAGTGCGTTTTCCACTTTTCGAGAAACAGCCTAAAATTCATGTCGCTCGTTTCCAGCATGCCGATTCACTTCGAGCGCCTGACTAATTGGCGAGTGGATTGCAGGCGGGATTTTGTAGGATGTTAGTTAGGGTGGGCAAGGGTAATTTTTTTTCTTCCGATTACAATATCTACCTAGTTATGAAAATCCTTTTTGTTCACAAAACTGGCGAGAGTGTATGATACAGATAACTTGACCAAAACTGATACAAAAAAGAACAAAGAAAGAATGCATTATTTTGCTTCGGCTCGTCACCGCTTTTCGCAACTTAACTCAACAACACTTTAATATTTGTAATGTTTTCCAAGATCGATTAAGTCTATCAGTCCTGGAATCAGAACAGACTGATTATAATAAATTTCATTTTTTTTCCCGCGAGGTCTGTCACCCAAACACTAAACCTGTGAGAGCAGAGGCTACAAGCAGTTTAATTAATTTCCGTACCCCAGTTCATTTGGAGAAAAAGCAGCCTCTGTTCACAAGCCAAAGAAAAATGGCTTCCCTCACCCTTGAAACCCTAAGATCAAAATTTGAATTCTCAATTGTTATACTATTCATTTCCTACAGAAGTAGTGGGGAGAAGTTGATAAAATATCAATCAAATTCATCTTGTGTGATCATGTCTGTAATTCACATGACACTGTTTTACAAAACATTAATATTACAAGGAGAAATTTGATGCTGATCACTCTTACGGCTTAAACTGGGTTAACGCCCGTTACACGGAGTGGTTTTTTTTTTTTTTGCCTTTTTGTGTGACTTATGTTAAAACTAATTTAAGCGGCGACTTAAGTCACAATTTTGTTGAAGGCAATTTTTCAAGGTTGCATAACGTAGTGATAAAACTTTAACTGGTTTAGCTCTACGTCTCGATACGTCATTCTCACGCATGAAATACCTATGAAATCGCTGGTAGTTTACAGGTGCAAATATACTCTCTAGGGATTAGTTTTTGTTATTTCGTTCGAAAAGTGGGGGGGTGGCCGGGGGGGCAAGACAAGCCACCCCCAGCGCAAATACTAATCATAACTGACTCACGAAGTTAAAAGATAAATCAGGATATCTCCTGTAAGGGTATGGCAACGATTAACGAATTCAAACGACTGGATTAATTTTTAACTGAGTGATACATTCTATCTACTACACGTTTTGTGGCTGGCCTGTTATGGCTCATCACGGTCTTTTAAAAGTCACTTCACAATTTAGTCAGTTAGCTAAAACCATTAGAAAACTCGGGAACATTCAACTTGCAAACTTCACGCTCTTTTCTTCTGTCGGCGCGGGTTATAGGAGGGAGAACTGCTCCTTGTCTGCTCACCATTGCCCTCTCCTCAGTCTTGATTCTAATTATTTCAAGGCAGCTACCGTGCGTCTGTAGGGTGGCGCCTAGAGGAAGCAGCGCAGCTTGCATGGTAACAGCCATACTAGAAGTCAGCGTAGGAAACATTTGCGCATGGCTCGTCAGGTTATCCTGGGGAGGTGTCCTGCGATTCCCAGCAGACAAAGAGCGGAGGGGTGGTAAAGTGAAGCGGTTCGATTCCCTAAAGAGTGCTTGACTTCCTGTTTCAAGATATGAAGGTTTCCCAGTTGACAGCGGGACTTCGTTCGATGCTTGTCGTTTACATATGGCCAGGGACGTATAATTCCTGTCTGACGTCTCTTCACTGTTTTCCACTGGAGATTTAAGACATGGTGTTATATTGAACTCCTCATGCAGTGAGGTGTCTTGCTTATTTTTGTGTTGACCTGGCAGATGGAAAAAACCTTTATCATATGCATCTTTCACTTGTGCCCAGTGCATCTCAGCTTGTCTCCTGATTAATTCTTCCTGGAGGGAAATGTCTGAACCAGTCAGCTGAAATCCTGTAAAAAGATAGAAAAAGGTATTTAAAGTGGCTGGCAATATTTCTTGTGAATCAATAGATCAACAAACACTCCGTTAGCTATTCGACTGAGTAGAATTAGAACGTCATGAAATTATACCTAATCGATTTCAATCAGTTCTCCGAAAAAAAAGACGAATTAGCAGGATCACTTGTTTAAAAGTCATTATGATTCAAAAACGGAATGAGCTTCTGTCATTTATTATCATAGAACTCTGCTAAAATTTCAAAGCCTTAAAGGAGAAAGGCCTTAGTTTCAGGGGGACGCTATTGTCGATCCAATTACAGCTGACAGGAAAGCAAGTTCTACACGTATCCTTGCTTGAAAATCAGCTGCAAATACCCATATTGCAGTGGCCGATCCAGACATTCAGATAAGGGGGGGGAGGGGTAGGGACGGTCAACAACGAGCTTTATTTGCATGACCATACAAACACATACATTACTGCAAAAGCTATGTTTAGGAATCAAAATTACAACACAGACCCTGAGATAAGGTTGATGACCGCTCTCAAAAAAAATATTTTTGGCCCTTCGGGCCTCAGCTTGGTCTAAAAATAAGGGTGGGGGGAGGGGGGCCTTCCCCTAGCTCCGCCAAAGTATTGTCCCCAAAGACTCCCCTCTTAGACGAGGTCCTGGGAAAGAGATTGAGCTGGCACCCACTTGCAATTTATAATCCCAGCTTACTTTTAAGAGAAACTGTTTCTTGCAGAGGGTTTCCAGGGAGGGGACTGTGTCGTCTGGGCTCCCCACCCTCTCCTCCTAAGATTGCAAACACTTGGTCATCCTGTAGCACCTTATTCACCAGTGAGCTCAAGACCACTGCTACGTATTGCTCCCAAGAAGTGTTTCCATGGTAACGCTGAGTGCCAATCACGCCTGTAAGTACTATCCATTCTTTACCCAGGACTTTGCAGCATTCAAGTATATCTGCGAAAAGAACATATCAGCTTTATAAGATGCAGCACTTTTACGTCAAATTCACGTTTCCTTTTGATTTGGTTCACAATTTCTTTATAAAAACCAATAATTTTTTTTTTTTTTTTGCAAGAAAAAGAGACGACAGAGACGCGAAATTTCACCAAAATCTTTCAACCTCATTGAAGTCTAGGTTTATGAGCACTACTACCCACCTAAGCTTGAAGTTCTCACAGCTACCGCAGTAGCTCTCTCATTCTTTGTAAAATCTCCCATCTGAAATACTTTGCCAACATGGACAGCTTGCTTGCGGTACTTGGGCGGTTTCCATCCATATTTGCCATTTTCGAACACGTTGATCAAACATTCACTGCACGCTAGGCTTTCAAGTTTTTGAAGTTTGGGGTTCTTTCGAGCTATCGCTTCTGCCACAATTACGTCCCCGATCTCGTACGGCCTGCTATGAGGACATTTCCCGAACCCGAGAAAGATTCCACCTTTGGGTTTCAGTGATTTGATGGCCTGGATAACTGCAAATGGCTCGCCTCGAGCTTTGAGTAAAAACACAAGGCGGGCATTGATTCTCCCAAAGTAAACGTACCCAGCCCCTCCTATCAACACGGCCTTCAGATCTTTCAAAATGTTCGCGATCGCGAGAAATATCAACTCGTTTTCGGCGATCAACAATGCGTTCGTTGGGATGTAAATTTTGTCAACTTCAACTGTCTCGTATGAGAGTTCTTGTGGAAGCAGTGCGCAAACGGAGGGAGGTCTGATTGGCAATCCGGTTCCGGCCATATCAGGCACTGAACGATCCTGGCGAAGAAAAAGACAGGTTTTTCCTTCATCTCCTTCCATAACCTATACAAAAAGCTTAGTGGTATGTACTGATGTACTTATCCGCGAGTTCACACAAGATAAACTTCAGTAAGCATTTTAGAAAGGAACCTTAATAAGCAAAGACAATTCTCTTTTCCGCTAACTTGAAGAATGCTTTCGTTCCACGCTCCCATAACAGATTTAAAAACACATACTCCTCTGGCGCCTGGGGTACTAATTCGGCGCTTTAGAAAGTTAAAAGAATTTAACCGTGTGTCCCTGTAAGATTTAAGCAATGTATCAGACGCTGAAATGTAGCGAAACAAATTTCATCTTTTTTTAACGAAATCACAGTTATAATTGAAGGGAATAGACTCTAGAACATCTATTGTTCTCTCGAAACAACCCTGTTGAAAAATTACAATATCAAGCTGTAAAAATCGACCACGGAAGACCAATTCACCAGAATTTGCTTTATCAGCAACTTCTACTAGGGCCACTCTACTCAGTTACCACAGTAACAAAATATAAATTACAATAACAACTGCGACTTACACCCCTCAAGTTACCGACAGTGAGGCGTGCCAAGTCTATTACTACTAATATATACAGTTACTAGCATTCCATTGACGGAAAATAGAACAGTTAAAATGTTGTTATTATATACAAGCCTTTTGGCAATTAAACGAACCGGTATAATTTCTCGAACCTAAATTCGTCACCAAATAACTATTTCACGATAACATGTTTATTTTTATTGTGGGATATATTGATAAATCATTCTTTAGACACGAGCCGATGACAAGAGCACGAGTGTTTTGGGGATGCGGGGAGATATACTCAAAACGCTGTCTAGGTAAATAATATGTAGGATCCCAAATCGTACTCTTCACTCTTTTTCAATTAAAAGAAAATTGATTTTTCACACTTTGTATTAATACCGGAACTGAAACGGAAAGCAAGGCGACACCATTGCACCTGATAAATTCTTGGTTCTCAAAAATAAACGCCGTAACCTATTAGTCAACCAGACGAAGTATCGGGTCCTAAAAAAGACACTTGACGGCGATAAGAAAAAATAAATTTTCTACTGTGATGAAAGAAGCATTTAGATGATACTCTGTGGAAAAAATACGACCGCATTGATATTGATGAGCACTATTTTACCTATATCTCTATTTAACTAATAATGAAGACAATTTGTCATAACAGGATAAACATGCCTCACTGTTGACTGACTACGGCGCGAACTTTTCATGCGCCGGATCTAATTATTACATTTGGTTACTCAAATTTAATCTGCCGGATTTCATAAGACTTTTACCTGGGTAGGTCCGACCCACTCGTAAAGAATTCGTCACGGTTTTGTAAGATCTGCACCGGAGTCTCCAACCCGCAGCCTTGCACCGCAAACCGACATTGCTCCGCTATGATCCCGAACAAAACCAATCTTCTGAATAATAATCTATGATTCATCGTTCACCTATGTATTAATCAGCGTTTGCGGTTTTTTGCTGCTTATATTACAGGAAGTGTTTACCCGGTTAAACAATGAAAAGGTAGCTTCTTTAGGGAGGGGCTTTCCCTTTCCTTTACATTATTAAGTATTGTTTTATGACATTTACAACAGCCCTTTGTGTTTAGCCAACGTACCGTTGAAAGAGCGTCTCATGCATTACTTTTCTCTTATTAACTAATTAATTTGTTAGATGTGTTAGGACGTAAACTAGTCTTCGAACATATTTCATAAATTCCTTGCTTAGGGTAAGGTTTTCTTAAACTGACAAAAAGAAAATCTCATCGGGAATATTACAGGGACAACCAACGACTATTTCAGTGTAAAACAAACTGTTCAGAGAAGCAAATATATTGCCCAACATTTTATATTGCCTAATGAATACGGCTAAAAATTTCTTGATGGACGTTCCATTCACGTACATTTTTCGAAGCTTATCTAAAAAATAATTTTTCATATTTTATTCCTCATGTTAGGCTACTTTTCGTAGGAAAAGGAAACCTAAAATTTTCGGATTCAAAAATGTGATGGAGGGAGGAATAAGAAAAATTCTCACTGAAAACGTTCAATTGTATCAAGAATTTTCGGGAAAATAACACTGAAGCCCTTGTAACTTCGAAAAGCCTCAAGTTCCCCTTGGATGACCGAACAGATACAAATTTTATAGCGCCACTTAAAAGAATGCATTTCTAGAGATCTAAAAGTACTCTGGATAGCCTAAAACGATTATGTATTAGATTTCCACACATTTCAAGTACCGATAAAGAGGTGTCAGGGCATTAATTCTCAAACAATCCATGATAAACATTCTTCCTCTTGAATTTCAACACTACTTATTCCGTGAAAATATCATGTTCTTTAATTATTATTTCATTCATATCAATAATAAAAATAATATTCAATAAGCCTCTAAGCCAAACATCGAAGTTTTGGGTTATTTTCCAAAATCTGACACGTGAGTTTATCGATGACGTAATTTCGGTAATTCCCTCCGAAATTTGAAGGCGTCTTACAAATGCTGCCAAACATTTCGAGTGGCAAAAACAATATTTTACTCACTCGCTGCGCTCGATCGTAAAGCCACTCGAAAATAAAATTCATATCCTCGCGCCACCGT